CTCCCCGATCTCTTCAATCCCCGAAACAATTTTCAAATTCTCAATCCACCACTTGTAACACCTCTGTGTTTCGGGTGACTATGAGCGGCGCTGATTGTTTACCATCAGGTAATCCATCTGCTCGTTTACCGGCTTATTGCATATAAAAGTACTAGCTTCTACCAGGTTAGCCCGCGTTGCCGTGAGATAAAAAATAGGCTTTGTGTTATTTCAGATCATATCTATATCTGTTCCAAATTTCATCAGCGTCCCTTCAGCTCTTTGACGTGATTGAGTAATAAACATACACAAACTCACTAACTCGCATGTATTTTATAATATTGATAAGGACGTTAATAATAGGTTAGCGAGAGACACAAGTTCATTTCAAACCTTAATGTCACAACCTACACGAAAAAGAAAAGCCAAAATTAATGAAAAAAGTAATAATAGAAAAATATATAAACGTCAACCCCATCTGTCACCGCCATTTTTTCTATTTACGCTACAAATCGACGTCGATAACGCAACAAAATGCACATTAGCTACAATAATATAAAATTATTCCGTGTGAACGTACCGAAATCCATGTAACAAATAAATATGGCGTATCACACAAAGATCGCCAATAAAATGAAAGAAGATGAATTGACAATCAAAGGAGCTCATTTATTGGGTCCGAGTGTGGAATCAAAATTCGACGAATTGAAGTACGAAGTGATACATAAGATTGACAAAGAACTCACCGACTCCCAAAATGCTAGAGACTACATTTCTCAAAAATACGATGAGCTTTGCAGCAAGATACAGTACTTGACGGAGTTGGATGCTACCGTGACTGGTTTCCGAAGTGACGTCAAGGCTATAGAAAAGCAAATCACTGAGCTGTCGTTGAGAGTCGATGATATTGAGAAGAAAACTATTTGTAGAGAATGTCCTTCGCTTACGTCGTCCATGTTTTAACAAATAAATTGTTCTTTTGTATAGATTTTGAGCTTTCATTTACTCTTTACTCCTTTTTAAGGGGGGGAAATCATTAAATTACATAACCCGCCTTGGGTGAGACGAGAGGGAGTGTCTTACTCTTACTGTTTATCCCTTGTGTTAAAGTAGTTTGCTTTTATTAACCCTTCCCCTGTTTTACCTTTATCTACATAGAAGGTGATCCTATTAACTACTTTGGCATCCTTTTTATAGCTATGCATATTCGTCCATTCTCGTTTTCTTAACGGTAAAACGAGGTGAATAGATACAGAAGAGGGCTGATATTGAGAAAATGTTCCAACATCTATTCATCCCATTTCTGCATAATTATTCACCCTTTGAATTCTATGCACGTATACCGTAAGATGTTCCTATAATAAGTACAAGAAGGAGGCATTTATTTTAATTCATACTTAGTCTTCATTTCAACTTCCTTACTCAAATGCTTAGCCCCATTTTAATGAGGTGTCCACTATTGCTATACCTTACCTCACAATGCTTTCTGCCTCGCACAGCAAAACTGTGGAATGATGTGTCGTCGGCGGTATTTCCGAACTGATACGACCTTCAAACCTTCAAGAAAAGAGCGTATTCCTTTTTAAAAGGCCGGCAAAGCACCTGTGACTCCTCTGGTGTTGCGGGTGTCCATGGGCGGCGCTGATCGCTTACCATCAGGTGATCCGTCTGCTCGTTTGCCTCCTATTCCATTAAAAAAATACCTTACAAACACCCGGTTTGGAAGGTATAGCTACCAATTTTGGTTGTACAAAGCACAAAGGTTTATTAGTGTGTTTTTTTCACCTGGGAACTATTGGGATCTATCGTATATTTGATCACCACAGTGCGCTAGTGTGCCCTCTCGTTCTTCGTTAGGGAATTTGCTAGTGTCACGCCATTGGACGTTTAATATTTGACAGCTGTTGTGAATGGACGTAAAAACTACTCCCTACATTGCCGCCAATTGGGTAGTTTCCAGGGTATCAAAATTAAGAATCTAATTAGTCCGTCAGTTAGATAATGAAAAAATATTAGACACGTATTTTTTTATTTTCTCGTATTAAGTTGCAATACTTAGATAAAATGGCGCTAAGTTTAGGAGTGGGAGGTTGTTACGTCATACGTCAGATTTGTTTTGCCAAACGTTAAAAATAACGAATGTGACATATTACTGAATAGTGAGAAATTGGAATTTGTAAAAGAAACTATTTTCCTGGGAATTACTGTAGACGACAAATTACAATGGGGTCCTCATATTACATCTCTAGCGGGACGATTAAGCTCTGCAGCTTATGCTGTCTGGAAAATCCGTCAGTTAACCGATATAGACACGGCAAGACTGGTGTACTTCAGTTACTTCCATAGCATCATGTCGTATGGCATTCTGCTGTGGGGACACGCTGCTGACATTGAGTCTATCTTTATCTTGCAGAAGCGCGCCGTCAGAGCTATATACAACCTAGGTCGTCGCGAATCTCTCAGAGAAAGGTTTAGGGAGATCAATATTATGACCGTTCCATGTCAATTTATTTATGAAAATATTATGTATGTTAGGAAAAACCTACATTTATTTAGTAAAGTGTCTGACAGACACAATTATGAAACTAGACATAAGAATAGATTAAGTCCGCCATTTTTTAGATTGTCAAAAGTACATAAGTCGTTCATGGGATTCGGTGTTAAATGTTATAACAAAATCCCCCAAGAAATACTGCATCTAAATGAAAGAAAATTTAAACTATGTATTAAAAAAACGTTATGTAGACAAGCATACTACAAACTAAATGATTATATAGAGGATAAAAGTGCTTGGAGGCAGGCTGGTCCGGCTCCGCAGGATAATACATGAAACACAGTGATGTTCAATGAATTCTATTGTGTAATAATATAATCATGTTGCTTAAATATTTGTATAGTTTAAAACTTTGCACAATCTATTGTAAATGTGAGAGCCCTGTAATTAATTCAATCAAATTAGACTAGTAGATTGCATTTATGTCAGCTTGGAGTTGTCATGCTCACTCAAAGATCTCGTTGGCGGTGGCACGTGCAGTGGATCGCTCGATTCCCTACAAAATGGTTGAGTTGGGCGGTGCTAGAGTTCGCAAAATGTTCGGAACGGGCTCCGTCGATTGGAACTGGTCAGCTCCGGACTGTATCTTTTTATTTTATTATCCTCAAGGTTATTTTCTTTTTCAGTCTTTCTGACTGGATTTAGGTGTTGCATTGTTCTCACATAATCGAACCAATAAAACTATGTTACTAGAGAATTGTATTGTAAACCTGATTGAAAAAGAGTAACCTATGGAGTTTCTTGCTCGTTCTTCTCCATAGGAATCTACGCCTTGGAATGAGCAACTAGCTTCACTTATAATTTTTTGTTGTTTGACGTTCAAAAGTGCCATCCTGGTCTAATTGAAATAAATGATTTTGACTTTGACTTTGACTTTTTGACTATAGCGTGCTACAAAATGTGACACGCTGTGACGTCATACGATATTTCAAATTAATATATCGTAATCAAAGTATTTAATTTTGTGAGAAAAGAAAAAATACGTGTCTAAAGTTTTAAATTAATCTACCAGACGGGCATTAAAATAAAATTTAGGAAACTACAAAATACGGCAGCCCCATTACTAAAAGTGCAGTATATAAATAAAAACACAAGAATAAACAGCTTACTATTTATTTATAATTCTAAATTATAATTAATATAAACATTATATTACAATATACAATAACAATCACGGTATAAAAACCTTTACAGCCGACATTTGGCACATTTACAAATTTTCTAATATTTTTACAATTTCATTAGAACATTGTCTTAGAATTATAATTATTATGATTGGGTTTCACTGTAATCTTCAATTATCTTTTACCTAATGATGGCAATGGTGGCATATTTACCCGATCACCCTGGGGTAATGGGTAAGTATTATATATATAGTAGGTAAGTAAGGACCACAAAGTAATTTATTTTTTTCTCAATTAATATACTATAATTTGTCATAACTTTAGGATTATTTTTCGTTTCACATTGACCAGGCAATATTCTTTCTTCATTAATTTATAATAGTATGTATTTATTTTGTTTTCTGTTTTTTTAGGTATTTAAATAAAAAGCATTCATTCGTGGCAGTTTTCATTATTTACTCACATATCCATTGTAATATATTATCGCTTACAAATTAACAGTTTTTGTTCAATAAATGTTCAGTTAGATATTATTTTAAATATATTTGGCACTTAGACGGCACTTAATTGTACTATCCTTAGATTAATTTATGAAACAAAAATATTAAAATGTCTAAAAATAAACTATTAGGCCAGCTAAAAGTTTATTAACAATATAAGCTAAAAATAATAATTAAAAAACAAAATAATATAAATATTGCCAACCTTAAATAATGATTTTTTTTAAATATAATAACAAAAAGCGTTGTTCAAAAATTTGTACATCACAATATAATTGCTGTGTCCCTAAACTATTATATTATTGAAATTATATATATGTATAATAAAATAAAAATAATAACATAAAAATCGGTGGAGCTACATTGACACCAAAATATATTCCACTATGAATAAATATATATATAAAATTTTGTTATATACCTCTATGTCATGTTTTAACTAACTTAGATAAATATGTCTACACAATATTATCAAAATTTACATAATATCTTCTCTGCGGTGTACAACCATAAATATTTATTCCCTAACTCATTCATAGTATCACATTTATTATGTATAAATATATTAAATATTCTACTCAATTGACATAGCTGGTCACAGAATGTACTACAAAAATCACCCTTATTGCTTTGCAGGCAGCTTTCAAAATCACTCATTTACTTACTAAAGTTCAAAATATCTTAGCCTTACTAAAGTCCTTAAAAAATTGTCTATCAATTTCACTCTTTACTATTTGTACATATTTCTATCCTACTCACTCTTAAGAACCAAACTTTGGATAAGGCAAGATAGATTGAACATAGTATATACATATTTGGTTGATGAGTTAAAGTTAACCTTATTTAATAGTTCTTACCGGCCAAAATGGCTTGGATTTGGGATACAGTCTTACCTTTGGTCTCAGGGATGAGGAAGAAGACGAATATGGTGCCAAGGACCATGAAGCCAGCGAAGAACCAGAAGCAACTGTAGATGCCTATAGCTACCTGCATAATGGGGAAGCAAAGGGTGACCACGAAGACCAGCATCCAGTTGGTAATGACCGTAATACCAGTGGCAGTTCCACGATACTCTACAGGGAAGAGTTCAGCCATCATCATCCAAGGAATGGGACCGAAGCCCATGGAGAAGGACACGATGAAGAGGATGAGGCAAACGAGAGGGATCCAACCGAAGGAGCCGACGTTGTAGCCATCTTTCTGCATCTTGAAGTAGATGCCAAGGATGACGAGGCAGAGACCCATGATACTTGTGCTTTGGAGGAGTAGGATTCTACGACCAGCCTTATCAACGAAGACGGACGAAAGGTAGGTAGCAATGGTCTGAACAACTCCTACAATGATGGTAGCAATGACAGGAGGGATGTTGGAGCCAGCAGACTGGAAGATGTTGTTAGTATAGAAGATGACGGCGTTGATGCCACTGAACTGCTGGAAGAACATAAGACCTAGACCACAGATGAGCGCCATACGAGGGGCCTTGTTTGTTAACATGCTTAGCGCTCCGGCTCTTTGACGAGATGCTTCGTCCACCTGAAAAGATAAAATGATTATATTTAGTATATTGCAAGAAAGCATATGGCAGGGTGATAGATTGTTTTACCTTTTATTTAAGAATTAGGCAAAAGAAGCATCTCTCTTGTGAAAAAAGAGAGTGAGAAAATAGTAAAACGTGTTTTTTTATTGATAGGATACTAAACGAGCAGCCAGATCACCTGATGGTAAGCAATCGGAGCCGCCCATAGATACCCGGAACACCAGAGGAGTTACTAATACATTGCCTTTTGGGAATTAGGGATTTGACGATTGGGGGCATCTCAATAAATCCTTCATCAAAGTTCTTACATCTTTCTGCATCTCCTCCAGTTCAGCGGTAAGGTCGGCGTCAGGTCCTCGCAGCCAACGGAGAGACTTTTCCGCATCACGTCGCCTGTTCTTGCCAAGAAGATACTGAGGAGTTTCTGGCATCCACCTGGAATTGGAAACGTTACGGTCAATTTAATTAACTTACCTAATTTACTTTTGCATATATAATTTATAGTTCTCTATGCATATACGCTTAACTGAAATCTGAAATCTCCAATTTGGATTGAACAAGCGTGGAGATCAATTATCAATTAATTTTCATTAGTATGTGGACCCATGTAATAAGGGATGAGTTTAGTAATTTGAATATTATTTACTATCAAGCTAGACTTGTTTTTTATTTGGGACAAGCCCGCTACAAGTGAAACAAGTGAAACAAGTGAAACAAGTGAAACAAGTGAAACAAGTGAAACAAGTGAAACAAGTGAATTTATTTCTGCAAATAAATTCACTTGTTTCACTTGTTTCACTTGTTTCACTTGTTTCACTTGTTTCACTTGTTTCACTACAACGTCCCAAAATCGCTGCAACTCTTGGATCTACAGTAGATACAACCATGATAACACCGGAACACTGAAGTCTGGCGTCATAGGGACTTGGATCGCGCAACGAAATAAATTAGAAGATATTAATAGAGAAGGTAAAAACGATACTTTTCACTTCCCTTGGTGAATTTATGCAGGAGACAGAATAACTAAGCCTAAAGGCACAAAAGAGACTACATGACTGGGAGAAGCCCGCCAAGCACCACGGAAAATTTGACTAAAAACTAAAAGGAGCCTTTGTGTGAGCTGATCAAGCTAGACTTTGTTATCTCATGAGTAATAGTTCCAGTTTAGAGACAATATATTTTTCATTCAAGCTGTTCTTCTGTGGAATGCGCTGCCCGAGGAGGTCAGAATGGCAACAAATCGTTGCTCTTTTAAATTTAAAGTCCGCGAGCATTTAATTAAGCATTGGCAGACTCAAAACAATTGAGGAAACTATTTTGACTGAGTTTACATTAATGTATTGTAATATTTATGTAGTAGTTATAAGTATTCGTTTAACTGTATATATTATATATGTATGTCTTTTTAGATTTATAATATATTGTATTATTATATTTACTGTGTAGGGTTTTATGTGTGTAGTATGCATATTATTTAATAACTATTATTTCTTTTTTTTATAGTATACTGGCTTCGCATCTCTTCACTTCCCTATGGTTGGCTGTCAGAGAATGCCTTAAGGCATTAAGTCCGCCATTTACTGTTATCTTAAATAAATAAATAAAAATATATTTAACATTTTACCCCTGGAATAACCCGATTATATAACGTTTTCCCGACATTATAACAAAGGTGAATGTAGTTTGAAGTTATTCTTAGCATCAACAATGCAAGTGAACTCTGTCACTACATTAACATAAAAATTATCATAATTGTTGTTTGTTTGGACTATGCATCGTATGGGTTATTAAGTTTTGTTTTTCGTGTCAATATTTGTACTTTGAAGCAGCTAATGTAATTGCTATACGTGCTATCTTTGAATCGATGTTAGAGTAAAACAAAGATTTAGATTTTTTGACATCATCAAGTTATTTATCAAGTAGGAAAAGGCAAAGATGCATATAATGCCATATATATAATACAATGATTGCCCTCTCCAGTGGTGCATGTAATATGGAGTAAGCCTATTGTCATATACCATACAATTCCAAACTCCAGCTGCTCAATGATATTGTAACCAAAAAGATGTGTGTAGATAGATTGCCTACACGGAAATCGAATTCATGACTCCTTTGTTCGGCTGTGGCAAGCAAACACTCGACCAAAGAGTCGCTACTAAAACTGATTGACTCACCAGAACACAGCAACCAATAGAACGGGGAAGACAGCAGAGATGATGGAGAGGGTTCTCCAATGAGTCCAGCCACCGACCACGAAGGTGAACAGGATGCCGACAGTCAAGAACAGCTGGAAGAAGGCACCTAAAGACCCTCGGATGGAAGTCTCTGCTATCTCGCCGATGTACATTGGAGCCGCCACGCAAGCACCACCTGGGAATCAAATAGTTTTTGTTAGATAAGAAGAAGGTAGGTAGAACGGTAACAAATAGGTAAGAAACGGTAAGATTTAATGATTTGGATGTCAGTCAACTTCATCATCTCAAAGGATAAGAATAATATATAGCCATCCCGGTAAAAATGATCAGTGATCAGGTCATACGAAAATCATTTGAAGAAATTGATTTGCGGTAGTTGCCGTTATTGGTCCGAGACGTGATGTACTGAGAGTCTTCTAAGTTGCAAGGAATATTTGACGTTGGCATTAAATATGATAGAAAGGCCAGGTTCAATTACCACTCAGTCGAAGCATATAGACAATTTCTGAGGTAAGGAACAACCTTCATTTTACACTCACAAAAACTGGTCTACTAAGATCTTAGTCTTACCAGTAGCCAATCCAGCGAAGAACCTCGCAGCAATGAGCATTCCAGCTCCATTCGCGAAGATGGTGAGCAGCCAGTTGAGCAGGAATGGTATGGAGAGGATGAGCACTGTCGGTCTTCTGCCAACTTTGTTAGCTAGCACACCCACTGGAAGAGCACTGATAGCTGCTCCAATGGCAAGGATTGATGATACAAGGGAACCTGGAAAGAAATCATTTGGAATTAATATTAAAAATCTAGTTTAGTTGCATGGTATTTGCGAGGCTTGTACTGTTTACATCATCTTTTAAAATGCCAACGGCGTATAGCTATCACGGTTTCGGAGATACAGGGTAATACAGATGGACCAAATATAAACTATGGATGTAGAGTGGAGCCTTAGTAAGAGGACCCAATTTTAACCTCTAGGTACAGACTGTGGAACCCTTTTTATAGGGAGAAAAATCATCCAATGACTTCTTCCGCCTTGGGTGAGGCGAGAGTGTCAGACTTTAACTGATTAAAAACCAACCCGTTCCAACTCTTGCTTTGAACCGAATTTATTATAGTAATGTAATCTATGTTTTAGATCAATGAAAACATGATTTTTATAATAACTATCGTGAGACATATAAAATTACCTAATAATCTCGTGAATATACTAAGAAAAACTCTACTAGTTTCGAGCCACAGAGGGCCTCTTCTATATGAGCAGCAGGTGCGGTCGCGGTGGTGTCGCGCAGCCTACTGTATCTAGAGAACGCTAGGTATATTCACGTGAGTAACCCGCAATTTTTAGTTAATCTACAGATTATCTAAGAAGGTCATAAATAAAAATGAATACTTTCTATGCACATAGATCTGGAAGCCGGTAAAATCAGAGTATATCAAAATATGTAAATGAAAACTAACATTTATAATAACAAGTCAAAATATAAACATGATACACAAATTTCTAGCAACAAGATAAGCCATACTACACACTAACTACTAAATTAGCCACCGAATGACGTATTATCGTAAACACATTCATACAGTTACTATATGTAGGTACTGTCTGGTGTATCGTTTGTTAGGTAGTGGTCCTACTGTAGGCGGGCAGAGGAAGCGATTTTTTTGAGGTTATCTTCAGGGGTGCTGTCTTTAGTTGTAGGTGACATTCTACCTGGCAATATGGAAGTCATTGGGATTATTGTGATGATGATGAGGAGGAAGAAATAAACAAATGGCATAAATGTTAACGAAATAAAGTTGAAGGTTACTTTTAAATAAAAACATACTTCTATTTTTTGAAGTCGGTTAATATACTAAAATCTGTTCCTAAATGTAACAACCATAGCCGCGGAGAACGTAAAAGGTTACCGGGGCCCCGGCTTTAAGTACAGGAGTAAGAACGAGGTGGTTTTTAGTCAGTAAGAGTCTGACACTCCCGAAGACAATCAATGTTTTTTTTCCGCCGTAAAAAAGAGGTTTTAGTCAGTAAGAGTCTGACACTCCCGAAGACAATCAATGTTTTTTTTTCCGCCGTAAAAAAGTGTATTTTTCTGAAAATCTATTAAAATCACCGCGGTTTAGGCAATCGTGAGATAATGGCGGACAAACATAGATACATACAGGTCAAACTGTAAATCTCCTTCTTTTTTTTAGTCGGGTAATACTTAAGGAGTATGATTTAATTTAAATACACAATTATTAGTGCTTAGACATAATGGTGGGAGATTTAATTTCTAGTTTCTAGTTCGCTTGTCGCTAATCGCTAGCGAAGAGAGCTCTGCCTTACAATAGCGTTGGATTACGCAACGCTGGGGGCTTGCCAGATAACGTCAGGCAAATGCCCTTTATCACGAGATGAATATATTTGTTACACACGTCCATTAATAGGGTTACTAACCTACACGTCACGTTTAAATTTGGGAGGTTAATAGTTCGATACTCGGATTGAACAAAGTGTTATTGAGACGTTAACCGCCGCGTAGGAACTACGTTTTTTTTTAAGGGGGGAGAATCATCGACTGCTCCCGCCCGGGTGAGACGGGAGGGAGTGTCAGACTCTTACTGACTAAAAACCACCCCGTTCCGTCTCCTGCACGTCGAGCCGGAGCCCCGGTAACCCGTTAGGTTCTCCGCGACAGGACCTACGTTAGCGGTGGATTTGTCTTCAACATTTTTCGTCGGCAGTCAAAGGCTAAAGTATTTGAATGTCACCCGACTGCCAAACGAAAGTGTAATTTAGTTTTACTAATATCTAGCTGTGCCCGCGACCTCGTCTGCGTGGAGTAGTGATTCACAACTCCAACCCCGTAAGTGATAGCGTGATAATACGCAGCTAATATGTTGACCCGACCTATTAGTAATATTCACGCATTTAAAGTAAATTCATGCAGTACTTTTTGAGTTTAGCCCGGACATACATACAGAGAAACAGACAAAAATTCTTAAAACTGTATATTTGGCTTCGATATCGATTGTAGATCACGTACCAAGCATTATTTAAAAAAAATGAATGTACAGTTTTCACATTCCTACGAGTTTATTATATGTATAGATAGACATACAACATACTAAAATAGGGTAGTTTCCTAAATCATATTTTAATATCCGTCTGGTAGATTAATTTTAAACTTTAGACACGTATTTTTTCTTTTCTCACAAAATTAAATACTTTCGACGCTATACTAATTTGAATAACGTGTGACGTCACAGCGTGCCCCATTTTGTAGCACGTTATGACGTAACAACCTCCCACTCCTAAACTTAGCGCCATTTTATCTAAGTATTGCAACTTAGTACGAGAAAATAAAAAAATACGTGTCTAATATTTTTTCATTATAACTGACGGACTTATTAGATTTTTAATTTTGATACCCTGGAAACTACCCAATTGTCATTATGTTGTATGCTTATAGTGCCTCTATCTACCACTTCAGTAATAAACGGTAGGCGTGCTATTATGTTTATAGTCATTATTATTCCCATGTGTATAAAATGTATAACTACGGGATATCACAAAGCTCACTTGGTATCGCAAATTGGATTTTCCCATCCCAAAATAATACATACATGTGTGTATTTTTATATTTAATCAATTACACTGCACTGTGCATTTTTTTCCTCGTTATCACGCCATGTGTTACACAGTTAGCCGTTACAGAACATACTTATTTTAAAAATTTAAATTCAAATATCTTTAATGCTGAACACAGTACATTAAGATACATTGCAAGATGTTAGATGAATGTGCACTTCACCATGTTCTACCAATCAAGGCGTGCAATTATTATTCCTAAATTATAATTGACGAGTTCTAGATTACAGCAATATTATGAATTTATCAATTTAATTCATAATGAGGTCAGTTAAAACAAACATTAACTCGTCGAGTACCGGTTTTATAGACACAATTAAAGAACAATAGGTCGCGGTCACCGGTGACCGCTTGGTGTTTGACAGTTTAAAATACAACAAACACTTAAATTAAACTGTCAAACACCAAGCGGTCACCGGTGACCGAGACCTATTGTTCTTGAATTGTGTCTATAAATACGGTACTCGACGAGTTAAAATAAAAAATTTGATGGGTAAGTCACTCGTAAACAATATTAATCATAGTCAAAAACAATAACGAAAGTAAAATAACAATATGTCAATATTTCTGTAGTACTATGATAATGTCGGTTAAATATTTTCATTGAATTGTATTTGAATAGTATGACTTAAAATAGCTCGATTAATTTCATAGCATCACGCCTTTTATCCCCGAAAGGATAGGCAGAGGTGTACATTATCCCACTGTACAATGTAACACCTACTTTTCACTATTTATATTATGAGTCCCGTGTAATAGTGGGTGACCCTATTGCCATATACCGGGCACAATTCCAGACTCCGTGCTACTACGGAGATTTTTTTAAAAACCCTGTACTGCTTTCCCCGACCTGGGAATGGGAATGACCACTCGGCCAACGAGGCAGTCCTTGTTTTCATGAGAAAATGATTTTGTTTCCTATGTTAATAGGTTCAACACCTAAATAGCTGAATGTAACCAAATGACCTATATTTGACATTGACATAATCTATTTCAATAGTGATGAAACGAAAACAAGAATGCACTGTAACATTCTTGGTGTAACGTTACATTTTAAATCTACTACAAACTGCATTAGACGCCTACATGAAAATTTTGCGAGAACAAATAATGTGGGAACATAAAATTTATTGTTTATCCTAGTGCTAAATCTGTAAACTGTGCCAACTAGTCTGAAATTCAGATCTTATGTCATATTATGAAAATAACACAGAGAACTAGTGTGTAAAACTACTCCTGTAATATTTCGCGCCGACTGAGTGAAGCTTGTAACACCCCTGAAAATATTAGTACCTAAAGACTAAAGAACTTACATACTACAATAATAGGGTAGATGACTAATTTTTATTGTAATGTCCGTCTGGTATATTATTTAAAAACACGTGTTTTATTTTCTCACTGAAACGAATAGTTTCGAAGATAAATTGATTTGAAATATCGCATGACGTCACTTTCGAGTACGATTTATACTCTAAAATGACATAGCTACCTCCCACTCCTAAACTTTGATACGTTTCATCTAAGTATTGTTTTCTTATACGACAAAATGAAAAAATACGTGTCGAAAATTTTTTCATTACCTAACTAAAGGACTAATTAGATTTTTAATTTTCATACCCTATCATCATCCCTATTATAAAACTGTACAACATTGATTTCATTATTGCATGACAAGATTTGTTGGTTTAATTTTGACAGATGCGGATCTGTAATATGGAATCAATGTTGTATATTTTGTAACTATTGTACTAGCAGACTATACCCCTGATCCCGGAAATAGATCATACCCCACATTGGAACAAACAGATGCAATAGACCGCCAAAAGAGAAGATTCTGATGTAGCATTTCGCTCGAAGAACAAAACAGTTTCACATTAATACTTAGTGTATATTATTCGCCAAAAAAATAGACATAAACACCTTAACCCTTTGAGTACCGTCATTATAGACACAATTATAGAAGGTTGCGGTCACCGGTGTCCTCGCGGTATTTGACAGTTTAAGTCAAAGTCAAAATAGTTTATTTCAATTAGGTCAGAATGGCACTTTTGAACGTCAACAAAAAAAAATAAAAGTGAAGCTATTTGCTATTTTAATGCCAACCATAAGTGCCTTAATTATAAAAATACCAAAGAAT